GGGAAAGAGAATCTTAAAAGCAGCAAGGGAGAAGGTAGGTATTTGTCATATACAAAAGAACCTCAGTAAGATTAAAAGCTGATTTCTTGCCAAAACCATGGAGTCCAGAAACAGTGGATGATATATTTGAAGTGTTGACAGAGGAAAAAAAACTGTCAGCCAATTCTATCTCTAGAAAAACTGTCTTTTAAAAATGAGGGAGAAATTATGACTTCCAAGATAAACAAAAGGTGATGGATTTTCTTACGACTAGACCTGCCCTATAATATATAAAAGAGAGAACACTTCTCTTTTTTTCCTTTCCCATTATGGTTAATTACAGGATATTGAATATAGTGCCCTGTGCTATACAGTAGGACCTTGTTGTTTATCCATTCTATATATAATAGTTTGCATCTGCTAATCCCAAACTCCCAATCCTTCCCTCCCCCACCTCTCCTCCCCCTTGGCAACCACAAGTCTGAAAAGAGAGAACATTTCTTTTCAGAAGAAAAGAAAAAAGAGGCCACTGTTGTGGCCTCTCCCGTTGCGGGGCACAGGCTCCGGACGCACAGGCTCAACGGCCATGGCTCATGGGCCCAGCCGCTCCGCGGCATGTGGGATCTTCCCGGACCGGGGCACGAACCCGTGTCCCCTGCATCGGCAGGTGGACTCTCAACCACTGTGCCACCAGGGAAGCCCTAGAGAACATTTCTTAATTCATTCTATGAGGCCAGCATTATTCTGATACCAAAGCCAGACAAAACCAGCTCAAGAAAAGATACTACAGACCAACATATTTTATGAATATAGATGAAAAATCCTCAACAAAATACTAGCCAATTGAATACATAGCATATTAAGATTATACATCATAAAAAAGGCGGCCTTGTTCTAAGAATTCAAGGATTGTTGGTTCAACATATGGAAATCTAGCAATATAATAGCCCACATCAATAGTATGAAGGGGGGGCACCTACATAATCATCTCACTGTATGCAGAACAGATATTTGAAAAAAATCTAGAAACCGTCATGATGAAAACAGTCAGCATACAGAAAATTTCCTCAGCCTGATAAAGATCATTTATGAAAAACTCACAGCTAGTATCATACACAGTCAATGATGAAATAATAAAAGCTTTCCACCTAAAATAAGAAATAAGACATGATGCCCAGTTTCATCACTGCTATCCAGCTATTCAATGTTGTACTGGAAGGTCTACCCAGGGCAATTAGGCAAGAAAAAGAAATTAAAAGTATATAAATTGGAGAATAAAAAGGGAAATTATCTCCATGAGGAGATGACACAATCCTGTATAACGAAAATTCCATAAAATACACACACACACACAAACAAGACCTACTAGTCTTATAAACGATGTCAGCCAAGCTGCAGGATACAGTATCTACATATGAAAATCAGCTGTGTTTCTATACATCAACAATGAACAATTTGAAAAAAATTTTTTTTAATAATTCCACTTACAAAAATATCCAAAGAATAAAATACCTAAGAATGAATTTAAGCAAGGAGATGAAAGACATATAGACTGAAAACTACAAAACATTGCTGATATAGATAACTATTAAGGACTTACTGTATAGCACAGGGAACTCTACTCAATACTCTGTAATGGCCTATACGGGAAAAGAATCTAAAAAAGAGTGGATATCTGTATATGTGTAACAGATTCACTTTGCTGTACATCTGAAACTAACACAACACTGTAAATCAACTATACTCCAATAAAAATTAAAAAAAACATTGTTGATAGAAATTAAAGAAGACCTAAATAAATGGGAAGACACTCCATATTTATGATAATATTTGCCAACATGGTCTATAGATTCTATGTAAACACTATCAAAATTCCAAGAACATTTTCTGGAAAAATGGAAAAGATGATGAAATTCACATGGAACCACAAAGGGCCTTGAACAGTCAAGACAATAGTGCAAAAGATATGATATACACAGAATAGATAAATCCACAGAGACAGAATGCAGACTGATAGTTGCCAGGGACTGGGGACAGAGGAAAATGTTGACAAACTGCCTAGCAGGGAATGAATGCTAATCATACTTTTGTGAACAATAAACAATGGCATACACATGCAATGAACACCGTTGCAACAACAGTCTGGCCAACGGTCTCACTGATATGTGGTTATGAACTTGCAATTTTCTCCCTGGAATAAATCCCTGTACTTGAGACAACCGCAAATCAAACAGGATGATCGTTAGTATACTTAATCAACATTGCTACACTGCCCTTGAGAGACACTTTTGTGATGATCCACAAAACCCAGAAGGACAACTGGAACCATTTGTGTCAGGCTCTCATGATACTTTCTATCTCAGCATCCTGGAACATGCTGACCACTCTACTCAGTTACTTCAGAGGGCACGTGCCCATGAAGCAGGATGATACTGTAACATCTAAATCAAAGCATTCTCCACTCAGAATTTTACCCAGTGAAACTCCTCATAGGAGAGTTCACTAGAGCTTCTCCAGCACCTAAAGGGTGGGTTATCACAGCAGAAAACAGAGAATAACATTTCAGACACCAAGTAGGTGTATTTCAGAAGCAAGTTTCAGAGGCAAAATCACACACACTCAAAAAAATATGGAAATCAGGTAGAGCCCAAGTTTTTCCAATTTGCATACTACGTAGGCACTGCAAGAGAGAGAAAAGTAAAAGATACAAGAGTAAAGCAAGGGATTCAGATTTTGTGGGATGTTGAAATGGGCCCTGGGGTCTGCCTACAAACCCCAAAATGTGCCTGAGATATGCTCCCCCTGAAGGACTGGGGATCAAAGAAAGGTTCTCTCTGCCCACTGTCTTTACAATACTGCTGAGGAACAATCTCAGAAGATTCATGCTAGTCCCATGATACATGGTCCTAAAGGCAAAAGCAGAAACGAAGAAACGTCTGAGGCACCTGAAGGGGCACAGAGGGCTTGAGACAGGCCCCTGTACTCGCCTGGGGCCCCGGATGCAGTGGATGAGCAGCCAGTGACCCCCATCCCCAAAAGAAGGTCTCTCACGTATGTGAAATGGGGACGGAAGCTAGAGAAGGAGAGGAGACGGGACAAGGGAGACCTCAGCTCGATGTGTGTGGACTGAGAACTGAGTCTAGAATGAGAGGCTGGTCCCCCAAAGTCCAAATACAAAAACAGTCACAGATGGCAGGTAACAGAAAGTTGTGAGTCAGGATAAAGACTTTGCCTTTGTCTTTGCAACGAGATGGGATACCACTGGGACGGGAGGAAACTTTTAAGACACATGAATAAGAAGAGGAGGGGAAGTGCAATTTCCTTCGAGAGCTCACAGCAATAAACTTCTGTCTTCCCAAAGACCTCTCACATTTAGGAATAATTTCCTAAAAAACATTTGATGAAGTAACCACCTCTTTGCCGGCTGAGTTCTTCCGTATGTTCGTATCGTTGATACATTCCCACCCACCTTATTATTATTACTTTTTCTCTATTTTCACCTCACTCTTCAGAGGCCAGGGCTCTCTCCCCTGCTCCAAGATGAAAATAATATTCACCTCAGAAAGACAGATTCCTGCTTACATGAAAGAAGGTGAATGATGTGCTGTGGCTTTTTCATAATACAATTCCAGCCCTTTGCCCAGCTGAAAAAGACAGTACAGATGGGGTAGAATAATATTTCACAAATTTGTTCAATAACGGTCTTCTTCCAAATGCTTAAAGAATATTTTAAATATACAGATATGTAGCTTTCTTCCAAGAACTACCAAACCAATAGTGCAGAAGTAAAAACAGGCAGATGGCTTAAAATTTCGCCATAAGCTTTTGTGCTTACTCAACTTCCAGAACCACCACCACCTAGCATGTCGTGGACAGATCAACTGAAGAAAGAGGAGGTTTAAATTCCAGACATTCCATTATAAAGCCTCTCATTTCTGAATCAACATGGCTTCAACCTTAGGTGAACAAGGCAGGGGTTCCCAAGAGACTCAAGATAAATGCAAAGACATCTGAGGGCAGATCCCAATTTCTGGAGGGAAAATATCCTCACCCAGGGAGACCAGGTTCCTGTAGTTCTCCAACATCACGTCCCTGTACAAGGCCCTCTGAGCAGGGTCCAGGCATTCCCACTCCTCCTGAGAGAATTCTATGGCCACATCCCTGAATGTCAACAGTGCCTGAAATGAAAACACATTTCACCAAGAGGCCATGAGGAGAGTACTTATCTTCACACAAAATGAGAAGAGGAGAGAGGTGCCAGTGTCAATTAGATAGAAGTGAGTGTTTTGATAGTGCCACAAAGAGAATCTTGAACAATGCATCCCTAATTTTGCTTTATTACACTTTTCTATCAGAGGATGTCAAATCTACTAAATTACTGAGGAATTTAAAATTGCATGCAAAAAAAAGATATATATATATATATATATATACACACACACACACAAATGAAAAAAATTCAACAAAGCGTTGTCTATACACAGGTTCCAGACATTATACACCAAATGATACCTAACTTCCTGATGAGGTACAGTAATGTCTTTAGGGATGACAAAGTCCACAGTAGCTTTAAAGAAAGGTGAGAAATGAAAAAATGGGATAATGATAATTACAATAACAACCAAAAGTTACCATACAGTAAGCATTACTCCAAATGTTTTATAAGTTATTAACTCATAAAACAACATAGCATCCAATTTATTCCCACCTTACAGAGGACCCAACTCTGTTATTCAACAGCTAATAAATGGCAGCCATCACCTGAACCAGGTGGTCCAGCTTTAGAACAGAACCTACAGCATCATACATTTAAGTATCAGATATGACATTAAAAGTATGATGACACAGTTGTTTCCTAACTGAGAAAACCTGAAACAAGTTCAAGGCTGAAAACACAGAACTGGCTGAAAGGTCAATACATATACACGTACACACACATGCATACATACAATGAGCATTGTCCTTACTGCTCTTAACTCATTAACATGGCACGGTAGGAGAAAACTTAAGGACGTGGAAAGCATGTAAGACACACTTTCAAAGTTAAAATAAATATAAGACTTATTTATGAAATGATGGTGTTGTTTATACACACCATGGATTCCTGCTCACATACACAAGTGGGTGCACTATAAACATACCAAAATTAACTGAAATAAAAGTGGTAGTGTCTAAAATGACATTTTTAAAATACACCTTCATTTTCTATTATTTTTTACTTCTGTATTTCAGCATTTTTGGTACAATGAACATGTATAAACTGTACTAAATTTAATTAAGATTGTCAACATTATTCTGTAGTAGCCTGGTTATTAAAAAACACTACAAAAATTGAGAAAAAATACATTAGAAAACTTAACTTTGATCTTCATAAATACATAGTGTAAAAATACAGAATAGAATCTGTGTCGTGATGAGAGAAGACTGAAGGAAGGCCGTGGGGCGAGTCCGAGCAAACCTGTCAGGCAGGGTACTTGAGAGTGAGAGATTATCAAGTCCAAATGGCATTTCAGGACAGAGGACTGAACAGTAAACTAAGAATATGATTTTACCTGAGAAAGAGTCATTCCTGACTCCTTGTCCTTTCCTCTTCTTCCTCTTCAGGGCTTCTTTCTCAGGCAAGGTGAGTCCTGAGATGTCAATCCTGAGTGTCAAAAGATGCTGTTTAATGCTTGGAATCGACACACCCCCTTCCTGTACCACAACCACACACAGGGAGGACCTCAGCATGTGGAACAGACGGTCCTCTGCTGTAGGGTTTTTGACCCCTTTCTTCAGAACTCACTCCCCTCCTGGTTAAGCCACACACAAGCTGCAGCAGTGGGGACCCAGGAAGGACTGACCCTCCCCTTCAGGTCAGAGACCCAGTCCTGACCGAAGGCCATGCAGAGGACAGCACCCCCTCCACCCCTCTAGTTTAAGGGCTGGTCTCAGTCCTCAGAAACAGATGAGCCAGAGCGCTAATGCTCAGGGCTGGATACAGATTCGATCACCTGAGGCTACTTAGTCAGCCATGACCTAGAAGAAAACTCTATGGGAACTGGGCACAAAAGAGGTATCTGAAAATGGCTCAGCAATCTAATGTAAAGTCAGGGTTGAGCATCATTCAGAGGGGTCAACCCCAGCACACCTCCCACTCTGTGGCCCTGCTCTCTCCTCGGGCCCTGCCCCCTGTATCTGGATAGTGGAAGGGGAAAGAGCAGAGAGAAACACACAGAGCAGGCATTACAGGCTAGGGCAGGGGGAGGAGTGTGGCTGCAAAGTTAAACGAGAGACTCAGAAAAGGCACCACTGAGAATGGGGGCAGGTGTGTTATCAGAACAAAGATCTGGGGGAGGAGGTTCACCATGTGCATTTGAGAGGTCAAAGAGTTCTAGGAATCCCTGAGGCAGTGGTGACCCTGACTCCGAGAAAAGCAGAGACATCTGTGTGGCTCAATCTCAGTGAGAAGGGAGGAAACAAGCAGGAGATGATGTCACACAAGTACTGCAGGAAGCAGATCAGCAAGGCCCGTGGCCTTCAGACATTTTTCTACCCCATCCCAAGTGAATTTTGGAAACCATGTATTGTCTCATCCATCTTAACATCTAATTCTTTTGTATCTCAAGTTAAAACACATATGAATAATGTAACATCCTGTATATTTGAAAAGCAGCCAAGATGGTCACACTGGCCCTAGGAAGTATGCCACAGCTCTTAACGGAAATGTGGAGGGCTGTAGGGTCCAGGAGCTAATGTCTGCACAGGGTGGCAAGAAGATGCCTGTGAGACGCGCCAGCAGGGATGTAAAGGGTACAGCTGGACAACAGGAGTCTGGAGTTCAGGGCTGAGGTCTGAGAAGGAGATGTGGAATTGGGAGATGTCAGGGTGTTTAAAGCCATAAGATAGGATGATATGGAAAGTCACTGAGTGTGGCCAGAGAAAAGGTCCCAGATGGAGCTTGGGGCCCTGCCCCCATCAGCGACCAGGGGTTGAGGCAAAACCAGGAGAAGAAAATGAAAAGTGAACAAGGAGAAAAGAAAATTGAAACACATGGCCAGACTTAAAATGATAGTTTATTTTTAAATACTGGGATGTCCTGCAAGCCATGAGAAAACAAAGAAAAAAGTGTTTAACGGAAGAGGGAGTGATCAACAGTTGCTGATAGGACAAAACAAAGACTGTGAATTAACCAGTGGGTTTAGAAATAGGGATGACATTACAGCCTCTGACAAGGAAAGTGGGATGGTAGATGGGAAAGCTTGATTGGATGGGGTTCCAGCAACAGCTGGAAGCAAAGGTTGATGAACTATGTTTGACAAATGGTGCCATCATGTCCGCTTACTTGAGGACTAATCACTGTTTATCTTGAGAACACCTACATAATGGGTTGTGTCTGCTTGGCTATAAAAAAGGGTGAGGTTTCTTTCTGTCATAGCAATCTTTTTGGTGGAGTCCCTGTGATGCAGGTATATGTCCAGAAGTGCAATTGCTGGATCACACGGTGATTCTATGTTTAATTTTTTGAGGAAATCACCACTGTCCTCCACAGCTTCTGTATCATTTTATCCTTGTAAACAATGCGCAAAGGTTTCAATTCTCCACATTCTCTCCAACACTTGTTATTTTCAGTTTCTTCTGGTAACAGCCATCCCAATGGGTGTGAAGCATCTCCCTGTGGTTTTGATTTGCATTTCCCTTACGATTGGTGATACTGGGCATCTTTTCCTGAGCTTATTGGCCATCTGTACATCTTCTTTGGAGAAATGTCTATTCAAGTGTTTTGCCTATTTTTCAACTTTGTTTTTCAGTGGTAGTTCTTTATATATTCTAGATAATAATTCTTTATCAGATACATGATTTGCAAAATTTTCCTCTTATTTTGTGGGTTGCCTTTTCACTCTGTTGATAGTGTTCTTTTTTTTTTCTTTTTTGGGGGGGGTGCAGTACGCGGGCCTCTCACTGCTGTGGCCTCTCCCGTTGCGGAGCACAGGCTCCGGACGCGCAGGCTCAGCAGCCACGGCTCACGTGCCCAGCTGCTCCGCGGCATGTGGGATCTTCCTGGACCGGGGCACGAACCCATGTCCCCTGCATCAGCAGGAGGACTCTCAACCACTGCGCCACCAGGGAAGCCCCGATAGTGTTCTTTGATGCACAAAGTTTTTTATTTTGATGAAGCCCATTTAACTATTTTTTCCTTTGTTGCCTATGCTCTCTGGTGTCACATCCAGGAGCCTGGATTTTGTCCCAAAGGCAATGGGAAGCCAGTAGAGGGGTTAATGCCAGGTACTGAAATGGTCTAACTTCAGATTTACTTCCGATGCAGAGAAAGAACTCTGAGACAGACTCTGTCTCTGAGCCCTGCATCTTTCCTAGTAGTTTTCATCATCGTTGTTGGCCTGGCACTCTTTTAAGCTTATAATTACAATGGTTACCCTCTTGCAGAAAAATGCCACATAGATATCCATACAATATTGTCAATCATTTTAGGGATCGCTGTCATTCAGCAGTCCTGATCTTGTTCATCACCTCTGTGTTGTAGGTAGGTTCACAGAAGCCCAGAAGGGAAGTTACCTTGAGAACATCTGAGCTGAGTGAGAACTGCATGTCACTGAATTTTGAAAGGGTGGCCTAGAAGAGACAGTGAGCAGTTTGTCCTTATCATCTCATTCCCCTTTGAAAAATTACAGGATCATCTTTAATACACCTGAGCAAAAGACACCTCTTTTGTGATCTTAATCACATTGATCCCAAGCATTTACTCCCTCTTTCGCAGAAAATCACAGTGAAACACTGAAGAAATATAAAATGATGAACACAGATTTTGGTGCTGAAACTTTTAAAGAGGGTTAGCTATGGAAATAGGATAAGTGCAAATTTCTTTACCATGAACAGATGGGCTCTGTTAGAACAAAGTTTCAAGTCAATCCAGCCCATCCCTCAATATTTTCACAGAATGGACAAAAGGGACTTGAGCGGAACATCTACTTTATAGCTCACAGCTCACTAATTCAACAAATCACACAAAGGGGACAAAAGAGGCTGCTGAATATTAGACTAACTCACTAAACTAAGTTCTAACCATTAAGATGCTATACACCCTTACCAAGTATATATTGAAACAGTCTAAAATTATTTACTAAGTACTACACAATGTTCCAACATATGACAAAGGGTAGAAAGAATGCAGTCTTTAAAATCTGAACTAGACACAATATATTCAAAAGGGAAAACAATTTGGGACTCTTTTTTTTTTTTTTTAAATCTAATGACTTCTGGGGTCAAATTTTTTTTTTAACTGAGACTACCTCATATTTAGAATAGAATGATGACAGCTGGTTATCACATGTCACTGAAGCTTATTTCAGAAGCTGATGATTATTTACAGAGAAAGGGGAATTCGGTATACTAAAATTTACCTCAATATGCTTTTTAAAAAAAATGAATTAAATGTAAGAGGGGTGCAAAAATGTATGTCCATTTAAAAGAAGAAAAAGCAACAGTTTTGATATTCCCTTAAAAAGCACCACGTAGTGACGGATTCAGTAATTTCTTGTCCCGGCTCACCTCCCTCACACCATTCCAAGCAAAGATGGCAACCCACAACTCAGACAAGTCTCCCCTCGTTGTCAGAGTAAAGGGCTGCAAATGGAAGCTACACTGTGAGGCGAATAATTATAAAACGCACAAGCCTTATAAACAGGAGTTTTGCAACTCTCATTCTCATCTGTAAAATTAAAACAATTAAGCAAATTTTAAACTAAATACATTACAAAGCCACAAGTCAATATATCACACCTTAGCCATATCCCATCAAGTCACCACTCACGCAAAATCAGGTTCCCTTTCTTTCACTCTACTCTGTATTTCTGTTAATCTGTTTATGTCTCCCTTTCCTTGTTTCTCTCCATTGTTCTCCTTTTCTGTGTTTCCTCTCTCACTCCCACTGCTCTTTCTCCCCTTTTCTCTATTCCTTTCCTTACACTTGTTTTGCACAAGGCTTGAAACCTATTTCAACTTCAATTTCTCCTTCTCCCCAGTCTGATCCCAATCTCTATATATGTCTGACTTTTTCTCCCGGCATTTGTGTTCCCTCTGCTCTCCATTACATTGTCTTTCCTATTACCCGCCCCCCCTGCCCCGCCTCACTGCATCCCTAGCTGGCTGGGTTCTCTCAGCGCTGTTTCTCACTCTGCCAACCCTAAGCCCTCGCTCTGTCCCTGCACTCAGCTCCAACTGTTTTTCTCCTAACCACTCTGTCTGAAGTGCCTTGACCTTCGTGGCTGGAGCTCCTCCCTTTCCTCTGTGTTTCTATTTTCTTTTCTCCTCTTGCTACTTTGCCGAGTTATTCCCTTTCACTTTGTCTCTCTTCAAGTCGTTCCCAGATCCTCTATTTTTGCCTTTTCTTTATGCGCCGCCCCACTGATCTTTTTCTCCCTCTCACTTTTCTATTTCTTTTCATTCTCTCTCTGTCTCTCTTTCTCCTGATCATCTTCACTCCCTTGTCCGTCCGCTTTCCTGATCTCCCCTTTGCAATCATCACTTCCACAAAGCACCAGATCCCCGCGCGGGGGAGGTGACTTGCTCT